TTTTTTCTTCCTGTATATTTCAAAATGTTTCTCACATTTTCTGGTTTCAGTTTCTTCTATACCTATGAGAAAGAAGAGGCCAGAGAAAACAAGCACAAGAGGCCACAGTGATCATCTGTCTGAATTTAAATGACTAAAATAGTAGAGAATGCCTTACACAGTAAGTATGGGGTCCAAAAGGAGTACTTTACAAAGGGTGACTAGACTTGAAGGTCCCAGTTCAGATTTGTCTGGCCAGAGTCAGAAAGAGAACTCTCACACTAATGTCATTCAGCTAAATAATACAGAAGGTATGTGCCCACAACAAAGAACATCTATCAACTAAGCAGCATTAGCTATTCCTTAACAAGTTTTGAAGATTTCTTCCTCTTACTGACATTCTATATGCAGCACTAATTCATTCAGCCTTGCAATAACATTCTTTTAAAGCATAAGCTTTATAATATGGACCCTACAATTCTCCACAGATATTCCCCAATGCTAAATGTCTCCCAACTATTTTAACCTTCTTTGCCTCACAGAATCTTTTCACAGCCATTTATTCAGCACATTCATTCCATGCAAAGAACTAGACCGAGTGGTGTTACAAAAGACATATCCATGGAATTTATGCACAACGAACTCAGCACCTAAACTGTTGTTAAAATAAAAACTCAGAAGAAATAGAAGATAAGGTACTTAGAAGGTACTTAAGAAGTATAAGAACACTACATGTAAAGCATCACAAGACTTAGAGGAGGAAAGATACATTTTTGTTGGGCAGCGATCAGGCAAGGCTTTCAGCCTGGGCCCTAACAAAGAGGCAGATTCCAGAAAACTCAAGATAATTAACTCTAGAGTTATTACGAACTTACTGATGTGGATGGGTACAAAATTAATACAAATCATATCTTTCATATTTATAACGACTAGTGAGAAGAAATAATGTAAGAAAACACAACATCTATAATAGCAACAAAAAAGATAAAATTCCTAAACATATACATTTTTTTCCTATGTTAGTACTAAGAACTGTATGGAGAATATATACATGCTAACTGGTTTGAACAAAATCCTACAGTTGTACATATTACACAATAATAATATGTTGGACAGAAGAAAAACAACAGTCAATTCTCCATAAGCTAACATGTAAAGGTTTTGTTTTGTTTTGACATTTTTAAAAATTCTAATTCCAGGGTAGTGAACATACAGTGTTAAATCAGTTTCAGGCATACGACAGTTGAATGTATAGATTCACTTGGGCTGCTTATCCATAGTTTGGCTATTGTAAATAATGCTGCAATAAACACAGGGGTGCATATATTGCTTCCAATTAGTGTTTTAATAGCCTCTGGGTAAATACCCAGTAGTGTGATTACTAGATCATAAGGTAGTTCTATTTTTAATTTTTTGAATAACTCCATTCTGTTTCCACAGTTTGCATCAGTTTGCATTCCCACCAACAGTGCAAGAGAGTTGCCCTTTCTCCACATCCTTGCCAAAATTGGTTGTTTCTGGATTTTAGCCACTCTGACTGGTATGAGGTGGTACCTCACTGTGGTTTTGATTTGCATTTCCTTAATGATGACTGATGTTGATCATCTTTTTATGTGTCTGTTGTCCATCTGGACATCTTCTTTGGAGAAATGTCGGTTCATGTCTTCTGCCCACTGTAAATTGGATCATGTTTTTTCCGTGTTGAGTTGTATCAGTTCTTTAGATATTTTATATACTACAACCCTTCACCAAATATGTCATTTGGAAAGATCTTCTCCCATTCTGCAGGCTGTCTTTTCATTCTCCTGTGTTATTTCCTTTGCTGTGCTGTGCAGCAACTTTTCATTTCGATGTAGCCCCAGAAGTTTATTTTTGCTTTTGTTTCCCCTGCCTCAGGAGACCTATCTTGAAGGATGTTGCTAAGAGTGATGTCTGAGAAATTATTGCCTGTGTCCTTTTCTGGGATATTTATGGTTTCAGTTCTCACATTTAGGTCCTTGATCCATTTTGGGAGTATGGTGTATAAAGGGTCCAGTTCCATTCTTTTGCATGATGCTGTCCAGTTTTCCTAACACCACTTGTTGAAGAGAGTTTTTTCCCCACTGCACATTCTTGCCTCCTTTGTCAAAGATTAACTGACCATATAATTATGTGTTTATTTCTGGGCTTTCCATTCTGTTCTATTTGATCTACAGGTCTGTTTTTGTGCCAGTACCATGCTGTATTGGTTACTACAGCTTTATAGTATATTTTGATATCTGGGACTGTGATACCTCCAGCTTTACTTTTCCTTTTTAAGGTTGCTGTGACTATCGGACGACTTCCATGGTTCCATACAAATTTTACAATTGCCTGTTTTAGTCATGTGAAAAATGCTATTGGTATTTTGATAAGGATTGCATTTAAAACTGTAGATTGCTTTAGGTAGTATGGACATTTTAACAATATTTCTTCTTCCTGTCCATGAGCATGGAATGTCTTTCCATTTCTTTGTGTTGTCTTCAATTTCTTTCATCAGTGTTTTATAGTTTTCAGAGTGCAGATATTTCACCTCTTTGGTTAGGTTTATTCCTAGGTATTTTATTATTTTTGGTGCCATTGTAAATGGGATTATTTTCTTAATTTCTCTTTCTGCTGCTTCCTTATTAGTGTATAGAATTGCAACAGACTTCTGCAAACTGATTTTGTATCCTGCAACTTTACTGAATTCATTTATTAGTTCTAATAGTTTTGGTGTTTGTTTTTTTTTTTTTAGATTTTACTTTTAAGTAATCTCTACACCCATCATGAGGCCCAAACTTACAACCCCTGAGATCAAAAGTCACAGGCTCCATTGACTGAGCAGGCAGGCACCCCTATCAAATCTAATAGTTTTTTGGGGAGTCTTTAGGGGCTAATCTGTAAATATAAAAGTAATCCCAATAACATCCCAACAGAATTTTGTTTTTCATCTAGTAAACAGATTCTCAAGTCCACACAGGGAAACAAATAAGCAAGGTCAGACATATTAAATGGGGGAGAATAGTCTTTTTAGATGTTCAAAAGCTAAAATAAATACAACAGTGAGGTAATGGAACTTAAAAGATAACAGAAATGAATAAGCAAATAAGAAATCTACACAAATATATACACATGCAAACATTTAACATATGCTATACATGAAAACTTAGTGAACTTTTTGTTAAAGGGACAGGTAATGAATATTTTAAGCTTACAGGCAATATAGGCACTGTCATATTGTCAATATGGGCACTAACCAATTCTGATGTTTTAGTGCAAAAGAAGCCGAAGACATTATGTAAATGAAGGAACATGGCTGTGTTCCAATAAAACTTTATTTCTAAAGACAATTAGCAGGTCAATGGACCATTGTCTGCTAACCTGATACAGACATAAATGCCAAACACTGCAAAAAAAAATAAATTATTCAATAAATGAGACTAGAGCAACCACATACCTGTCACGTAAAATAAAGTTGGATCTATACCTCACACGGTACCCAGGATAAATTCCAAATGAATAAAAGATACAGGAGACTTTATTTAATCCATGTTTTTAGGAACGGGTACATGCTATAGTATTGTGTCAATCAGCTCCTCATAGTTAGCTAATCATCTACTCTAGCTTGCCCATCCATACTTGGCACTCATTACCTATATGCAGAATGAAAATTATCTTTCTAAAGCTTACAATGTCAAACACTATAATATTTCCTATATCATTAAAAATATTCATGGAAACAAGTGAAGATCATCAAAAATATTGGACACGGAGCATCATCAAGGAACTACTAATTACATTGAAAGAGAAAACCAGGGGCGCCTGGGTGGCGCAGTCGGTAAGCGTCCGACTTCAGCCAGGTCACGATCTCGCGGTCCGTGAGTTCGAGCCCCGCGTCGGGCTCTGGGCTGATGGCTCGGAGCCTGGAGCCTGTTTCCGATTCTGTGTCTCCCTCTCTTTCTGCCCCTCCCCCGTTCATGCTCTGTCTCTCTCTGTCCCAAAAATAAATAAACGTTGAAAAAAAAAATTTAAAAAAAAAAAAAAAAAAAAAAAAAAAAGAAAGAGAAAACCAAATGGAAATCCAAGTTCTTCAAATTTAATAAACATGCTATAAGATAGACAGGAAGACCAAGAAATAGAAAATGGAAATGCCACTTAGTCTAAAATTTTCTATTTTCAATGTACTCCTTTATTTTCACATTTCAAAGAGTCTTATTCACAAAATTATACAAATGACATCAACAAAATATTATTAGGCAATTTCTGCCTAAAGTGAAGGATAACTAAAGCTCCCTAAGACTTTTTGCAAAAATAGACACGCACCTATAATTCATTTGGTATTCAATTTATCATAATCAAGGCATTATTCATAACGACGAAAAAGTGGAAACAACCCAAAAGCCAAACAACGGATGATGGGTAAACAAAATGTGGCATATCCATAAAATGGACTATTATTCATCCATAAAAACAAATTAACCACTGACTCATGCTACGCCATGGATGAACCTTAAAAAATTTTAAGCACAATAAAAGAAGCCAGACACAAAGGGCTTATAATATAATCATATCCCATGATTACATTTGTATGAAATGTCCAGAATAGGTAAATCCATAGAGAACGAAAATGGATTAGTGGTTGCTAGGGATGAAGGAATGGAGGAATGAAGAGTGACCACTAAATGGTGCAGGGGTTTTTTTTTTGGAATAATGAGAATGTTCTGGAATTAAGATAGTGGTTATGGTTGTACAGCTATGACTATAATAAAAGCCACTGAATTGTACATTTTAAGAGGATGAATTTTATGGTATGTGAATTATATTTCAACTTTTTAAAAAAGCTCCCACAATTCCAAAAAGCCGTTACATGAAATAAGGACATATTTGTAAAATGAAGCCCTACAGAGCCAAAGAATCCAAATTTATTTAATACTTACTCATATATGCACATTTACAATATTCTGCAGAAACAACTCAGAAGTGACACTGAGACAAGTTTAACATTTTTTAACTTAATTTACCTGTGTACATTAGAGAGGAGAGTGGATACCGCAAGCCAAGTGCATCTTCTGTAAAGGAATCAACAAAGTCCTCCAGCATTTGAAGCCCAAAATCTTTGCCTCGATACTTCTTTCTTACAAACATTGTATCAAGGACTGGCAGTTGGTAGCTTTGGGTAAGAAATGAGGCACATACACTTCCTGTAGTCATAAAACAGAAACCCAAAAATTTTTCACATTAAAAGGCCAAATATGTACATACATTTAAAGAACATGAGTCAACAGTCTTTCTAGAAATGGTTAGTTTTTTACTACATCAAGAAGAATGTTAAATAAATGGATCAATTTCATAATATAAAATCCTTTCCAGCTGCTATTACACATCAAAAAGTATATATGTGATAATGAGAAGAGCTATGTATTTTGTTTGCCAACAGTATCACCTAACACAAGTAACTATTCTTTCTCATTTTATGAGCTACATACTAGAATATGCATCTCTGTAGACTTGCACAACCTTAAAACTCATCAATTGGGGCGCCTGGGTGGCTCAGTTGGTTAAGCGGCCGACTTCGGCTCGGGTCATGATCTCACGGTTTGTGAGCTCGAGCCCCGCGTTGGGCTCTGTGCTGACAGCTCGGAGCCTGGAGCCTGCTTCGGATTCTGTGTCTCCCTCTCTCTGGCCCTTCCCCGTTCATGCTCTGTCTCTCTCTCTCTCTCAAAAATAAACAAACGTTCAAAAAAATTACAAAACAGAAACTCATCAATTACTACATTTTAGAACTGAAAGAGTATCTGATGGCTGCATATAGGTTATAATACACAAAGTATCTCATTCCAGCTATGGTCCCTGAACATCCATCTTATCCCTTTTTCTCTAGTGAGTACAGTCTCATTTTTGTCTACTTCATGATGGCAAAGAAGCAAATTAGTTCTCCAGATTTTTAAAGACTATAGATTAGGACTAAATGGAAACATTGGTCTTAGAAATGGCTTTGTTAGCAATCTTTTTGCTGGGAGTCTATTTTTTAAAATACCCTGTGTGTTTAAGGTTAAACAGGATAAATAATTTATAGTAACTAAATATGCCTCTTATTACACAGGTATACTGGTTTGTCTTTTAAGAACCCTGATTTGTGTTCTGACCCTCTAATTAGATGTGTTAGCACCTTAACACATTTTAAGACAGTACATAAGTTGTGGGCATCATTGTAGGGTATCCCACACTTATCTCTATTAATTTTAGAATTAGTTCATATTTATCAGTCAATATTCTACTCTTTTTGTGCCATAAATAAAATAACTTACTGTTCTCAGATTATTCATATTATTTGAGATAAATTCCAATAATGAAGTTCAAAGAGGAAACAAAATTTCAGGTAACAAACAACTTACAAATTGACTTTCACCAATCATATCATTTGATGAACTGGTCAATATAACAAGATTTTTTATTAGTTGAACCAAATAATTTGAATTACTTATGATTAAATTGGAGAATTTCAGTAACAGTCTCCAAGACTATCAACTAATTTAAGTTTACAATAGGAAATTCACATTACTTGGATCTTAACTGCCAACATATGGTTAGGGTATATCTATGGGTTAAAAGGTCTTAAATAATGACTATAGTTAACAATACTGTGTACTTGAAATTTGCTAAGAAGAAATTACATGTTATCACTATACAAAAAAAGAGAAAACGGTAACTATGTGCAGCAATATATGTTAATTAGCTTGATTTTGGTGACTCACAATGTATACATATATCATCAAGTCGTACACCTTAAGTATGTACCACTTTTAATTGTCAATTTTACTCACAAAGCTGAAATATACAAATTGCTTGTAAAAGTCTAACAGGTAGTCTCAGCAACAAGCTATTTTGACCATAATCACCTTATATATAATACCTTGAAATTCGAGTTTTTTATAATATAACTGCTAATAGTGATTCTGAAATCAAAAGAGACATTACTTCATAAGCACTAGTAGTTCAAAGGACAAAGAAAAAATGAGAAGTAAAAGCACTATCTGGTTCTAATTCTCAATATGGAGCCTGAGGATTTATGGCCATTCACTATTGTACAAGTTTCAGGTTCCTTACAGAAAAATCATCATTTCATGACAGAAATTTTCCACAAATTGATTTTTTTTGTTTCACACAAACATTTCTTCGAGTAGAGAAGAGGTAAATTCCAGCATCTTCAAGTGTTAAAGTTTATGGAATTAGTGTCCATAAAGTTTAAAATTCTTCTATTTATTTACCACATAGATGCTCCTTGCAAAAAAAAAAAAAAAAAAAAAAAAAAAAACCATGCAGATTCTCTTCCTTTACTTAAATATTTATACAGTTGACCCTTGAACAACTTGGGAGTCAGGGGCACTGACTCCTGAGCAGCTGAAAATCCACCTGCCACTAATAGCCTACTATTGACTGGAAGCCTTACTAATACCAAACAGTCCCTCACATCCATTTTGTATGTTATATGTATTACATACTATATTTTTCCAATACAGGAAGCTAGAGAAAAGAAAATGTTATTAAGAAAGTCACAAGAAAGAGAAAATACATTTACAGTACTGTACTGTATTTATTGAAAAAAATGCATATATAGTGGAGTCATACGGTTCAAACCTATGTTGTTCAAGGGTCAACTGTACTTTGTATACAGGTTCTACTGGATTACCTAGTAAAGCAAAACCACAACCTGCTAACTTAGATGAAAGATGAAGTTTCATTAAATTTACTAACTGAAATTGAATTAAATTTAGCATTGCACATGATAGACTGAATACTTATAATCCTCAAAGTTCCAACTTGACCACCTTCTTCCATATATTCTCTGGGAAATCTCACCTACTCCCAAGGCTTCTACCATCTATCCAAATGATGATGATCACTCATCTTTAATTTATTTAATACATGAGACTTTCCCAACATTAAGAATGGAAGTGCTCACATAAATGTAAATATAACAAAAATCATATGATTAGTTCAATAAACAGGAAAAAGAAAAACATCTGACAAAACCCAACACCTTTCATGATAAAAATACTCAATCTCCTAAACCTCATAAACCTCATAAAGGGACTATGAAAAACCCACAGCTAACATCACGCTTAATGATGAAAGACTGGACGGTTTCTCCTAAGATCAGGAATAAAACAAAACTTCATTCTCACTGCTTCTATTCAACACTGTACTAGAGGTTCTAATTAAGCAAGAAAAGCAAACAAAAGACAGCTAGCCTGAAAAGAAAGAAGTAGAGCTACATTTTCAGATGACATAATTTTGTATATAGAAAATCTTAAGGAATCCACAAAAAAATTATTAAAACTGATAAAAGGCACATCAGCAAGGATGCAGGACACAAGGTCAATATACATTCAATTATATTTCTTTAAATTTTTTTTTTCAACGTTTATTTATTTTTGGGACAGAGAGAGACAGAGCATGAACGGGGGAGGGGCAGAGAGAGAGGGAGACACAGAATCGGAAACAGGCTCCAGGCTCTGAGCCATCAGCCCAGAGCCCGACGCGGGGCTCGAACTCACGGACCGCGAGATCGTGACCTGGCTGAAGTCGGACGCTTAACCGACTGCGCCACCCAGGCGCCCCTCAATTATATTTCTATATACCAGCAATGAACAATTTGAAAATGAAATTAAATAAAACAATTTACCACAGCATTAACAAATAATAAAATTCTTACAAATAAACGTAACAAAAAAACTGCAAAGCTTACTGAAAATTGCAAACATCGTTAAAAGAAATTAAAGAACATCTAAATAAATGAAAAGACATCCATGTTCTTGGATCAGAGAACTTATAATTATTAAATGTCAATATATTCCCCAAATTGACCTAAAAACTGACAATTCTCAGCTACATTTTTTTGCAGAAATTGTCATGGTCTGGGGCACCTGGAGGGCTCAGTCGGTTAAGCATGGATTCCTGATTTCAGCTCAGGTCATGATCTCACAAACAGAGCACAGAGTAGCACAGAGCCTGCTGGGGAATCTCTCCCTTTCTCTCTCTGCCCCTCCCCACTTGCTCATGCTGTTTCTCTAAATAAATAAATAAATAAACTAACTAACTAACTAACTAACTTTAAAAAAAAAAAGAAAAGAAACTGACAAGGTGATCCTAAATTCATATGAATTGCAAAGGACCTCAAAAAGCAAAAACAATCTTAATGAAAAACAAAGTTGGAGGATTCACACTTGCCATTTTCAATCTTATAAAACTGCAGTAATTAAGACAGTATGGTACTGGCACATGAACAGATACAGAGATCAGTGGAATAGAACTGAGGGTCCAGAAACAAGACTTCATATTTATAGTCAAATCATTTTTGACAGGGGCTCCAGCTCAACTCTATGGAAAAAGAATAGCCTTTCCAATGAATAGTCCTGGGATGACAAGATATTCACCTATGCAAAAAAAAAAAAAAAAAAAAAAAAAAAAAAACATGATGGACTCCTTTCCTCACAACTTATAAGCAAATTAAATGCAAAAGGATTATCAACCTAAATATAAGAGCTAAAACTATAAAGCTTTAGAGGAAAAGATAGCAATATATCTTTATCACCTTGGATTACACAAAGCTTTCTTAGATAAATACCAAAAGCAAAAGTGATAAAGAAAAAGAAGATAAATTGTATTTCATCAACATTTAAAAATTCTGTGCTTGAGGGGCGCCTGGGTAGCTCAGTCAGTTGAGCATCTCACTTGGGCTTAGATCATGATCTTGTGGTTTCTGAGTTCAAGCTCCACATCAGGCTCACTGCTGTTGGCGCAAAGCCTGCTTAGGATCCTCTGTCCCCCTCTCTCTGCCCCTCTCCCCCCCTGAATTCCCCCAAAAATAAATATCTAAAAAAGTTTAAAGAGTGAATTTCATGATATGTGAATCTCTAAATTAACTAATGTGAAAGAAACCTGACTAAAACAAAAATGTACATAATGTAATGATTCCATTTTATGAAATTCCAGAAAAAGCAAGCTAATCTATACTAATAGATAGTTTGCTTGGGGATTCATAGTGGGCAGAAGGATGGTTACCAAGAAACGCAAACAAACTTTTGGGGATAATGGATATGGTTATCATTTTGATTGTGGTTAATAGTTTCACAGCTTGTATACATATATCAAAACACAATAAATTATCAATTTTAAATACTAGCAATTTTTGCATGTC